AGCAATGTACAACATATATACTGATATCTTTGTGGCTGGGTAATGCGCCATCAACCTGGCACACATTCAAGAATTGCGAGGATAACAGTAAATAAATGTCTGTTAATCCAGCCAGTTTATAAGATCACGCAAGTTTCTGCAATTTTCTCTCGGACAATTACTAACACTTTCTCGTAGAACTAAATAAAAATATAACTAAGCTTGTTTTGTATTTTCCCCGAAACTGGTATAGTACTTCGGACAAACATATAGAATCAATGCTATACACATGATTTAACATGAGATTATTATATTTTTGTTTAATAATGCATTCAATAACAAGTGCTAACGCTAAATTGTTAATAGTAGATTTGTTAACGAAACTAAATGGCAAAATATATCTCAACGGCCTTTATGGTCGTTACATGTTTTGGATACGTAATATAGCATTACAACTCATAATGATAATTCGAACTACTTTTTGAGAATTATAATTGATTGAAAGGCATTCCATTAGTCTCATAGATGGGGAAATAATTTGTGAAATGAAAATTTAAAATGAATTGGCAGTAGAATTTATAGTAATATTCATTGTCGCGGCTGAAGCCGGAAATGGCTGAAGCTGGACCTTGATTTAAAAATATAAACCCTACCAAAATCTACTTATACTCTTTAGCGCCTAGTCAAAATCGTTTGATTTTTGTGCAATGTCAATTTTCCTTTAAAAGAAAAATATTCCCTTATAATTGTTAGTTCGGAGCAGATCTAATTAGAATTAGGAAACAGAATTTTCTAATAAGGAAATTTTTTAGTCACACAAAAGAAAACGATTGTAAAAAAATATGCAATATATCTCAGAGCACACTTTATCAGAGCGATCTATGCCTGAGATGAGATGCTCAACTATCCGCTCAAAAAAAAAATTTCTCGCTACTGAATACAATGTCTATTTATAAAAAAAACCTACCCTTGTACAACATCTTCCAAATTAATTTATGCTTACACATAAGTTAAATGTATACAACTTATACTAATCTATACGTTATAAATATCAAACTAGCATAAATTAATTAATTAAATTTATACATAAACATCTATCCTATACTTACTAGCTATATAATTCCTATATATGCATATAAAAAATAACACTACGCTATGTAAAATCCGTATATATGTATACCTGCAAATTGTAAAATGTCTTAATTCTATATTTTTTTTTCATGCGTATATCTAATTACTCTATGTTTCATACCCAATACTAGATAAAAAAATAACATCTTATCATACATAAACCGTTATATTCTATAAAATAAATTAATTTAAACTAATCTCTTTTATTATATAATATCCAACCAATGATTATATCAGCAATCACTTATCCACACTATCAATAATGTAACAATAACGACTATACAATCTACCTTTATAATTTCTTGCTTAATCTTTGTATTTAAATAAACCATTTCAAATACGTATAATTGATACTATATATATTCCCTTATACTTATAAATTACTATCTATTAATTTTTAAATTTAAATAAATTAAACAAAATTCAACGTCGGACATTAAATTTCAAAAAACAAGCTTAAAGTCACAATATATCCTACTTACTATTGATAAAAAAAATTTTTTTTCTCTTTAAAAACAAAGAATTCACTTTATCTTATCCTCATAATCCGATTCCATATTTAGTTAACAAATAATTTATACATATCAACGCAATTAATACTAATTAAGTATAACCATTAAATTTATAAATTCTGATCTTCGTTTTTAAAAATAAACTAACCAAAATTCACCATCGGAACTTTAAACACTACCGATGAACTTTATATCGATAAAAAACCACTCATAATAAAATAATTCGCTTTACTTTCTCCATATCCGTTTTACTTAATCTAATTCCGTATTTAGTTAACAATACTTTATACACTTGTAATTACTAAATATACGTAAATACTAAATTCGCTAATTCTTCATTTCAACTCTAAAAACATTATAATAAATTAAACTAACCAAAATTCACTGTCGAAACTTTAAATTCTAAAGAAAACTTGCTAACGATAAAAAAAATTTTTTTCAATTCTTAAACAACGAATTCACCTTACCTTATCATTTCCATCTTTATTTATTTTATTTCCGTATTAAGTTAACCCTCGATCAACACCGAACAATTCTCTCGATTGCTAAAATCAATTTTCATATTGCTGTATTTAACGTAATAGTTTACGAAAATCGAACAATCAAAAAAATATGAATCTTTTAATTAAGTCGTATCTTAATATCTTACCAAATTTTATCAACTTATTTATTATATTACCAAATTTTACCAGACACTACGTTCTCATCGTGACATATTACAATGTATTTCAACTCGAATTATAATAAAGAATATATATTCGACCATATTACGATCTAAAAATTTCCCTAAATAATTCACATTTACCGAAATTTCTTAATTAAACTAATAAAATATTAACTTCTAACTTGATCGTTTTATTTTCTCTGATTAAAAAATGGCTTCCGTATTCTGCGCTATCTCTTTCATTAAAACCTTTTCAAACGCAAATAAATTTACAGCTGGAGTAGCGATCTATAGAGTAGGAGATGACAAATTTGTTGAATATAAATTTAAAGCATTTCGCTCTGAGTACACAACTCTAATAGAAAAAATTTATCAAAACAATATAGCTTTAATAATTGGCCGTTTTGCGTTTGAAAAAGAGGAACTCAATGTATAATTATATACCACATAATATTATTATATTAAACAACTAAATTTACTTAAATAATTCCTATTCATATTTTTTTTAGATAACGATTAACCAGTATGTTCTGTTAAATGTATCAACTCTTGGTGATGATACAACTATTTATGACCTCCCTGTCGCCCCGGCCTTTGGAATATTCACGGCTCCCATTCAAGATCCGGCCATAACAGAAATAGTCAAGGCATCTTTAGACTAAAACGGGACGTTTATAATGGTGTTACCGGTAACCAATCCCTGATGTCTATCCTTTGCAAGTACCCTTTACACAATTGATTCAACAATGTCACCGACGCAACATCTCGATGCCCAATTTTCTCTGCTGCCGGAGAGCTGATCCCACTCACTAAATCATCTTTCATCCTCTGTGAAACAATCGAATGGAACTATCCCACCTCTTTTCACAACACATCCTCAAATTCAACATCTAACACCAATTCTAATCAAAGCAATAAATGTCAAAGATTACAAGATCTCGAGCGAATCGCCGAAAAATTCAACTCCCACTCCCCTTCTACTCAACATCTATATAAAAAACCTCACTTCGCAAATCCCCGTGACCCAACTCTAAATCTTCCTCTACCCGATGCTACAGTTAATCAACTAAGAATTAACCAACTACGATCTACTATAGATAACATTAAAGGTAAAATAAGCAATACAATAAATTTTTAAAATCGTCTCTTCTTTCTTTTTAATCCTAACCTACTATCTATCTTCCAACCAGGAAATACTTCAACACCTCCTTTAAAAGAAGCCCTTGACGAACCAACTCTTAATAAAGACAAAACAACACCAGCTTATGGAAACAATACAAACGAAGAAAACCTCTACGATTCTACAAGCTCCAATACTTATCTACATACCACAGTATCCGATTTATCAGATTCATCCGAATAATACCTCAATCTGAATAAATATAGCTTTCGCTAAAATTTATATTTTATTAAATTATTTCTTTAAACTTAACTATTTTATTACATAACCGTACTTCTATCAATAAAGTATACATTTTTATCTATCAAAGAAATATGCATATAAAATACGAATTTTTATAATAAAAATTATAAATTTTAATTTTAAAGTGAATCAATAAATTCCTTTTTCATCATAGTAAATAATAACTATATTAATATGATTCCGCTATTATTATATATTTATTTATGCTAAAAAAACGTATTTATAGTGAATTTATAATAAATCAATATAAAAGATTTATTAAATATTATTTTAAATTTACTTTATATATCATAAAAACCGTATTATTAAAAATAAAAAAATTAGACCCGTATTATATAAAGTATTAAATTTAAAGATTAATTAAATCATTTTACAATAATATATAGAAACTGTAAGATAAATTAAAATCGATTCGAAAACTAATTGATATAAAATAATTTAGACTTTTATTAATAATATATCAAAATAATAAACCCGCTTCAAATTCCTAATCTTATGTATTATAACTTATTTTCCGTATAATTCATATAAGACCTTAATTAATAATTTACTCTGTATCCTTCTTTTTATTTAAACAATTTCTCCATTAAATACCCATTACTGTACTTCCTTAAATATTCTTTTTAAGATAATCAAATAATCCTCCTATTAAAAAGCTAAAATTTATTCATTCTTACCTTCTAACCTAATTACTCACTTCAAACACAACACGTACTATTTCACGAACAATCGTTTTATACACGCCAAACTTACAAATTTAATTTTCCACAGATAATTATACCACCAATTTATTTCACCAGCCTAATTTCATCAACACGATGTCTTATAAATTACAGTACCTTTATTTCTATATCAGACCTAATCGACCCTCAATTACCCTATATTGATTGTCTTAAATAGTCATTAAAATAAACTATGAATAAAATGAACTTATCAATAACTAATTTTCGATGAAATCTTAAATTATTATCACGTTATCAACAACTAAATAAACCTCTCAAGTCACCAATATAATAAATACTCGAATATTAATATCCATACTAGTATACCACATAATGTAAAATACAACAACTAAATAAATATCTAAAAAATAAAAACCTACTATATTTCTCTCCAAATAATCTATGTACCATCACTTAAAAGTAGCACAACCGGAATTTGCCGCCACCACTCATAAGATCCTTAAGATAAAAATTACCATCATCCTACTTATTAATCTTATAAACATATACATACCCTGTACAATATATTATAATAACCCAAATAAATATGATATCAAAGAAAGCCATTTTAGAACTTACTATGTTTTATCTTTCAATCAATTCACTTTTTCCTAATCCCACATTCTACTCAAAGTATTTATACTCTTATCCTACTATCCTTTCAAAACACAAATTCGAATTTTACTTGATCCAAATACTTCACATTTAACTACAATTATCCTTTCTTAATTCCTTCAACCTAATCGCTCAACAGCTTATTACAAATGTCCCATACTATTTTTCGACATTACTTTCCTACTAATTCATCTCAACATACCTTAGACGATAATACTCATACTAATAATACCGACTCTACGAATATCTTTGCCCCATACACTATATAAACCGAATTAAATATAAACTATCCAGAACACCGCTTTAATAACAATCAATTTCCCAAGCCACTCTCACCTTCCTCAAACAATCTAACAATAGCTCCTTGGACCCCTTCTGTCAAATTACAATCTCTACTAAATCAATTTGAAACTAAAATTTTATATGATTATTCCAAAATACCATGCTCTTACTGCTCCGTGTTAATGTTTGAATCGTCAACACAATGGATCAACTTTGATCAAAACATTCAATACACCTTACCACTGGCCTTTCCAAACGTACCTTTACACTTTAATAGAACTAACACCAAAGTCGCCATCTGTACAAGTTGCAAAAAACAAAACACGAGACGTTTTCCCCCAATTCTCTCAGACATACCCCCAGAAATTCAATCTGTACCCATGTTTCATCGCAAATACCTATCATCTGTCTGAATGTTCTGCTCTTTGGGTAGAACGCCCGGTTCAAATTCCTACACAACTTACAGATTCTTAACAGGGGATATTTCACTAAGTAGAAATACTCACGCCATACAATTATATTCAGGATTAATAGGTGCAATCGTAGAACCAACAAACCAATCCAATTGGTTTCACCCCACCCTAATTAATGCAAGCTCATGGCTTAAAGATAATAATTCCTTATTTAACCTTTACAGAAACCCCTCCTTAAATACTGCGTCAATACTCTTAAACTCTGTTCCTATGCCATTACCAACAGCTACTCCCTCAACATCAAATACACAATATACATCAAACCTATCTCAATTAATCGTTCCAAATCATTCTTTCCCATCTGAAATACACGACGAAGATTATAATTATAATCGCTTATTGGCTAGTTCCATAGAAACTCATAATACAACAATACCAATATCATATAACACTTCTAAATTAGAAGCTATGTTATTTCCCGACCTTTTCCCTACGGGAAAAGGTCATTACAAAGACCTAAAAACGAACTTATTCATCGAAACAAATACAGAAAGTTATGGGAAATACATTAAACTAAGAATGCTTTGTCCTGACCCTAGATTTAGGCTTCATTGGTATTGGCCACACTGGTCCTATTTAAATCTAGAACAAAAAAGAAATTTTCAAAATACGTGTCGTTTACTAAATCAAAAAAACATTTCGCGTTAATATCACCCTACTCGCGCTGACATCATAACAAATAGCTTATACACAAACAGACCAATAATTGATGAATCAATAACATCCCCAATTTCTTCAAATCTACGTACTGCAGCACCCTTTTTTAAGAAAAAACAATTACAAGTCAACGAGATGATTCGAACATTAGGATTACCTCAGCTTTTTTATACATTCACTTCAGCAGAAGAAAAATGGCGCCACCTAAATTATATACTGTCAGTAACAGATAACCACGATACCCTACCAACAAATCGCCCTCTTCATACGTACCTATTCTACCACAACAAACTAAATAACCTTCGTAACAAACTATAGAAAAACCCAGACCTAATGAAATGGGGCAAGCTAGAAAACTACTTCGAAAGAGACGAATTCCAGAATCGAGGCTCAATTCATACTCATGGTTTCGCATACACTGAAGCCTCGATTCCCGAGTTAATAAATCATGATTTCATCAGAGCTGGCGTACCAGATCCCATGACCGAACCACAATTATATCACCTCGTAACTACAGGTGTCGCCCCAACTTATGTGGTGGTCCAGGAACTGACAATCACCCATGCAGAAAAGGCTTCCTGCAACCCTTATCAACAATGACCCGTGTTGACTCCAATTCACTACGATATACCTACAGGTAAACCAAAATAGAAACCAACCTTATTACCTTTTTTCTTTCCAATTTTATAAAAATTAAAAAAAAACACAATACATTAATACATTAATATTACCTTTTAAAATCAATTTAAACTTCAACCCAAATCTAATTAAAAGAAATTAAATATAATCGCTTCACTAAACAAATTCTCATAAAATCACCACTCTAATTCAATACATATCACTTCATGAAATTTATTTCACAAACACTTTATTCACTGACAATCGATTCACACACAACTTTATTTCAAAGACAATTATTATATACAAACTTTACATCATAAAAAAAATCTGATCTTATAACAATTAAATAATATTAATTATCTATACAAAAATTTACACACAAATAAACTTTGAATGAAATAATTGTCTTTAAATAAACTTGTCCGTGAATCGATTATCTGTGAACAAAATATCTTTAAATAAAATTCACAAATAATATCAACCCTCTAATTCACCCTCAATTATATACTTACTTTCTTCCGCAATAACTCATACAAAAATCAAACCTATTACACCTAATTAATCTTCTAAGCCATAACATATATACCTAAAATATCCCTATAATTAAATTATCTTACCGAAGCTCAACAACACCCATTAAACAAATACAAAATTTAAATTTATACTTACCAAAAAACCTATTCCAACTTTCATCTTTTATAATTACAGACGATTAAAAGAAGGAGATCGCTGGGTTGTGCTGTATAACCCTGAATCCTTATACATTTGGCAAGGCCACTTAAACTTCCAATACGTAACAACTAGCAGCTTTGCTAAATATGTTACAAAATATGTAACAAAACCAGAGCCCTCCGAACTCTTTTCAATTAACACCAACGACGAATACCGAAAACATATACAAGCGAGAAGACTCAGGTCCATAGAACTTATGATACTGCTTCTACAATACCCGATAACACAATCCACTATCAGCGTACAGTATTTCCCTTCTGCTCCTTCTCATCTACGCACACGAGCCGTCAAACTAATCCATGTCCAACTCATGGAATTAGAAAATAATCCCAACAAAGAAAAACCCTATTGGGACGACGCTATTGATAAGTATTTCGATCGCCCATGAACAGATGAATTTATAAACATCACCTATCCAAATTACTTTTGTAATTATAACATCAACCTCCGCCCACCCTCACAAAACTCAAGATCATTCTGCACTTGCGATCAAAAAAACAGATACATTTCTCGAAGAAAAAAGCCTTTACTCTTACGATTCACTTTTTACAAAGTCGAGGATGGCGAACCTTTCTTCTTTCAATACTTAATTATGAAAATTCCATGCTATTCAGAAGAAGAACTACATCAGCAAAAATAAATAGGCGTAAACCTCCGCAAGTTTTTACACGAGCGTAAACTTACGAAAATTTACGATTGGTTCAGAGTATTATGTAGGCGTAATAATTACGAAAGTTTACGCTATAGTAACTCCAGAATATTACATAAGTGTAATAATTACGAATATTTACGGCATAGTAAATTTAAATATAGCGAAATGTAAATAGTCGAAAACTAG